CTCTTATACACATCTAGATGTGTATAAGAGACAGCATGCACAGAGAGAGAGAGAGAGAGAGAGAGAGAGAGAGAGAGAGAGAGAGAGAGAGAGAGAGAGAGAGAGCGGTTCTGTGTTTGTTTAGCTGGGCTCGAGCTGTTGTGTCACAGAGAGACAAAGAGTAGGAGGGGAGGGGAATTTCGCCAGGTTTCTCTGACCTCAGGAGGCTCCTGACGAATGGCTTTCAAATCTGACATCAGGCGAAGTTGGGCCGAGGAGAACGCCATCGCTGCCACGTCCAAAGCACGCCCCCCTTCTCTCTCTCTCTCTCTCTCTCTCTCTCTCTCTCTCTCTCTCTCTCTCTCTCTCTCTCTCTCTCTCTCTCTCTCTCTCTCCGTCTTTTTGTCTTCCACTGTCTTCCCCTTCCTCTCTCTCTTCCCCTTTTCTACAGCCTTCGTGTCACAACCATCGCACATGACATGCTCATCCAATGGCGGCCATCCGACACCATGGCACCGCATGTCTGCACTCGCCTGCGTTCACCCTATGACTGACCATCTCTTCCATTGTCTTCTGCAGGCTTCTCCCGCTGGTCATCTGGGAAACAAATGGCTGTCCTTCATCGGTCATATGCTCAACTTGCGGCGTGCATCGTGACACTGCCACAAGGACCTCCTCCTGCCATCGTTCAGGAAGGCGTTGTTTTTATGTCATGAAATCCGCTTTCTCAGTCAACGGTTTCAGACACATATTTTCCTTCTGAATGCATGCCTGCCTCCGGAGGTCATGCTCCGAACTGCCCTCGCTGGCCGTGCTTCCATCAATGTTATCCCTCTTCGCATTGCCGTCGTGCATGGTCGTATTGTACATCATGCTATATTTTTCTGGGAAAACAATCTGCTCCCACAGAAATGGGGCGCCCCCGCTCACAAAAGAGTGCGCACTTTCATGATTGACTCCTTATCCACCCCGCAGTCCTCATGAGGACGCCCAAAAATATCCCCGGTGTCTTTCCCGCATCGAGTTTCGCCTTGGTGGATGGTTTGGCTAAAGTGGATGACTGTGACAGCTCCACGTTTCGTCCTCGTAGATGTCTTATACACCATTTTCCTAAAGGGACTCTTGCTCGTCTGTTTTTTCTCAGCAAAACTTTGCAAAATTCCAAACCCTACACCCAAAAAACAAAGGTTTTACTCAATCCAGTAAGTTGATCGAGCACAGATCTGAATACATTATTTTGTTATGCAATGTTTGTTTTATGCAAAATATCGGTTGAAATTTGATCCAGTTTCGGCTTTAATAGGCTTTGTTTGTCAAGAAGAGAGTTATGTTCACTTCACACCTGACCATTACTTTTATTTCGCTATTTTGGAATCTTTCTCATCAGATTCTGCTCAAGTAAGCTCAGTTGGTTAGGCATGCAAGTGGCATTCAGGAGGTTGTGGGTTCAAGCCCCATGGCCGCCTACGGCGCACTTAGTGCCAACGGACTGTGATAGTCCTCTGGATACCCCTGATCGGTATTAGCGAGGTCTATGACCAACACGGGTGTGAGTGTGAGCGCGAGTGGGTTGTGTGTGGTGTGTGGGAGAGTGTTGGCCATCGCCTCTGCTGCTACTCGATGAAGGGTGGGGGACGATGAGAAAGGGAGGCACAGCTACTGGCAGGTCTCCGTCTTTGTGTTAGCCCGACCCCCACTGGCGGCCCCAACCCTATACCCTAACCATTAGGGGCAAGGGGCAACATGAAATCTCCCCTTCACAGAGAGAGGAAACTATGCTTGCAGGGGTCCCCTCTAGATAGTCTTAGGAGTAGGTAGTGGAAGGTGAAAAAACAGAAGTTGAGAGAAGAGTATAGGAAAAAAAAAAAAAAAAAAACGCGCTCGGTGGTTATGCCATTGACAATATCTTCTGTTTATCAAAATGCTTCTTTGATTGCGCGCAAAATATGCTCACCTGCCAATGACCGGGTTAGATCAGGCAGGCAGGTAGCAGCATACACAAGCCTTTGGCATGACAGACTTTGTTTGCAACGCGGGGCCCGTTTTCCGGCACATTCCTCCCAAGCCATCCTCGGGTTTCATGTATATATATTTTTTGATTTGTTTTGGCTTTACACCGAAATCTTATAAAATATATGGCAGCCGTTTATATACAAAACTGTATACATATTAGTGACATCTAAGGCATGAAGAGCAATTTCTGACACGGACCTCCGCTGCACCTGACCCTAAGGCGTGAAGACCAATATGTGGCATTCCAGCACGGGCCTCCCCTGCACCTGGCTGAATGGCAATGCTCTTCCACACCGTGCCAAGACCCACACAAAAATTGCCAATTGATCAGTCCGGAGACGAGACAAGGCCGACATTTTCATATCTCTGCCCTGGAATCAGCGTGTGCTTTCTTGCCTGCCTGCTAGCGACATGGGGCAGGCAGACCTGGTCCGGCCGTGGTACACAGCCTCCTGCGACAGGCGTCGAGCATGCAAAAAAACAGTTTGCGATTTCCTTGGGCAGCCATGTACAACGAAACTTGCGCCTTCGGTTCGGACAACAATGGGACATGCAAGACAGCGGGGGGAAGGTTTCACGGCCAACGTCAAACGACAGATCAGAATTGGGCTCGCCGGCGGGCTCGCTAGACAAATCCCAAAGCATGAACTCATGGATTTGATCGGCTACAGCATACGTAACAGGGAGTGGCTGCCTCCTCACAAAACTGCCTTGAAGAACCTTGAAGAACAACACGGAGGATCCCTACCTCCCATCACAAAGAGAGAGTCCTCCTGTCTTTTCAATCCACACCCTGAGGCATGAACGAGGCCCTACGTGGTGTTCGCACCCCGACCTCCCCCGCACCTGACCCTGAGGCACGAAGAGCAATATGTGGCATTGCAGGGTCAGGTGCAGGGGAGGTCGGGGTGCGAACACCACATAGGGCCTCGTTCATGCCTCA